AGCATACAACATTGGCTGAAGTTCTTGTGCATGGTATGAGATTTTGTCCCATGCTTAGGAACAAGGTCAAAATATGGTCTGAGAGATGCTGGAAGAAGCCGCCCCTCAATACTAAAGACAGATGCCAGCATAGCTTGTGTGTTCCTGCAGACCCTCCCTGCTTTGTCTAGAAGAAGGCTGTGTTTAAGAATGATTTGGGAATGGCGGAAATTCTGGATATGTAGAGAGAATACAAGGTATAGTCACTCACTTGCATTATGTACTACCATGACGGAAGCCTAAAAAAAAAAATAAATTTCCACAAATCTTCTAACAAAGAACAGAATCATCTCTGAGTTTCAAGCTAGAGAATCTGTCCCCTAGAGAGATCACAGAACAACTAAAAATGGATACAAATGGCTCCAAACTCTACATGGAATGAGTCTGACAAAGCAGACATAGCTTTATATATACAACCTGTTAAAGGATTTCTAGTTATGATTTTACTAAATCCACACATTGGATTTTCTAATCTCCCTCTTTACTTAACACAGATGCACTGAGTAACAAAATGAAAGGGGATTAGCAGATCATCCTTATTTGCTGAATATAGCCCTTATTATATTCTTATATTCTCTCTATATATTGTACTCATATTATTTTTATATCAATATAACATTCATATAATACCTTAAAAATGGTTAAGTACAGTCATAATGTTAGAAATCTCTCCACTGTAGGAAGTCCTGAGTGCCAATGTAAACTCACTCCTAATGGCAAAATTCAAGAGCTTAAGTTTTTAAACAGATTTAAATCAAAACTTGACAGTAGGGCAGGCAAGCCACCATACTAGGATCACTTTTCAAAAACAGGGCCTTATCTTTCAAGCAAATATATCCAGTCTAACTTCATCTAGCTCTTTTTCAAGTGGGGAAAAGCACTCTTGTTTTCTGGGCATTTCAGGCTTCCTGCTTGCTCCCCATCGCAGCCCTAAGTGTTCCCTTGGCTCTACAGGGAAATGTCAGCCTGGGGAGCTGGGCTGAGGACAGACCTGTAGGGAAGACTGTAAAGGAAAGAGAAGGTCTAAAATAGGAGACACGGGGGGAGGAAGATGAAGGGAGGGGACAAATGAAGAGGCTGTTTTTATGCAGTTCCAATCCGAACATTCAGCAGCCTGCACAGACTACCCAAAGCCCTAAGCAGAAAGAACACTGTTTTCAAATTTTCAAGTACCTTTTCCTTTTAAGGGCTATTCCACAACTTGATTTGAAATTGTGTCATGTTTCAGTAGTTTTCTGTACTATTATTCTAATTTCGTATCTATGTTCTCACACATTTTGTTTCCTTGTTTCTTCAAGGGATTTAGGAAACGTTCTTGTAGGAAGCATGGGGGGTGAGGAAGAACCAAACAAAAACCGCTCTGCTTAGTAACAGGCAAACGAATAGAAATTATGTAAAAATGATATTCTGGTCAGGGGCAAGCATATTTGTTGTTGAAGAGAAGGCATAGCTATAAATGGTGTATCTAGATGTCATGCCTTTCAAGAGATGCTGGAACAGCAGCTAGTTCCACTTGGGCCAAGATGATGCAGTTTTGTATTTCTGTATCAAATGGCAGATCTGTTTTTTTTTTCCTCCTCTTTTTCTTTTTTCTTTTTTTTTTGTTTCTTGCTCTGTTTTGTTTTTTGGTACATTTTGAAGAAAGTCTGAATGTTAGCTGAAGAGATACTAAAATTAGCTTTAAGGGTCTTGGTCAAAAGAATGCATGCCATTTGGAAACATTTCCTTTGCAGAAACAGCAGTCTGCAGTCTGCAAACTGCATTAAGAAGATTGTAAGGTTCCATGCTTTAACAAAGCAACTCTTTATATCTACATGTTATCATTACTATTTGTACCATTTGTCCTACCCAGGACTATTAACGAACTCCATAGATGGCATCCATGCCAGTGAGGAACTGTCCTTGTGCCTTTACAGCTTCGGAGGTGCTTTCAGTACTGGGAGCTTGAACTAAATGGATGGTTGGGACAGTATTCATTGAAAAATGAGAATTATCGCTGCTAAGGACAGTTTAAACAGCTGCTTACAGATCACTATTCAGTGCAAGAAATATCACCTAAATTTACACAATTTGAAAGACACAAAGCTTAAACACAAATGCCCTCCCCCAATAATTTACTTACTTTATATGGACTAGACAGCATCCGGCAACATTGAAACCCCAAGCTAACCATCTGGCTAGCAAATAATAGTTCTAATTAACTTACAGGGTTTTTCTTTGGGACTGTGCATAGTGAGGGGAGGCGGGGAGGAGCAGTTATTCTAGTCCCTAGCTTATATTGTTTTGCAACACTACACAGGCTTACGGAACACAAGTTTGCAAGTTCTCCCACCCTTTTAGAAATATCACTTATATAACTTTCTGACAGTTTCTGTTTCTAGAAAGAGCTTATTTAAGTACTAGAATGACTCTTTATTAATTTTTAAGAAAGTTAACGCATTCTCTGGCAGGCAAAGCAATAATTTCAGGACTAAAATTTTGTCGTGAGGAATTTCTGTATTATGGTCAAATTTTACTCAAAGGTTTTATTTTGTTGGGAACCAGAATGTCTACTAAGCTGATTTTGAAATAGTGCACTTTAAAAGTTTTGATGATATCAGAGTTTCTTGTTTTTGAACTGCTCACTTATATTTCAGTGGCACATGATTTATAAATCATTTAATTGGATTTGCCTTTGTATTGTTTTGAGAGAAGACTGTATTCCTTAATTGGTAACCTTTGTAAAACTACTTTGCAATTAAATATAGTTTTCACCATCTGCTATATTAGCTGGGAGCAATGCATCATTACTATTATAATTATGTATTTAGGCATGCAGTTATATTTGGATGTTTTAGTCTTCTTTTTTTAAATGTAGATTTGCTATTTCTGTTTAGTTCTATTTGCATGGAAACTGAAATCTATTATATACAAAAGCTATTTTTCAAATATGCTAGATAACTAAGAGAAAAGTATTCCTGTCTATCCTCATTTGTATTAAGCAGAAAAGGATTTATTCACAGGGAGAAAATTAAACTGTTTATGGGCACTATGCCCTTCGAGATTTGTAGTACAGTAGATTCCAGCCTAGACAGCTAATTTGGATTTGCAGATTGAAAAAGCAGAAATAAGATTTCCAGATTCTCAGATTCCAAGTTTTGAATGAACCAATCATTGAATGATGGCAATATTAAACTGAGATAATTTCTGTGCTTGCGAATGTCCAGCTGTTTGCCAAGTGCTTTTTTATTGTTATCAGACTTTCTTTAAACTTCTTTAGAAAGTGTTATTTAAAAGAATTCATTATTTATAAAGCCTTTGGCAAGTACTCCAGATATTGATTATGCTTCACTATATTATTAGCAAGTGACAACTCCAAATTTTCCAATGTCGTCGTCACAGCTTTTCTTGCAATTTGAGGCATAGCATGCACAGAAACAGCCCAGTCATTTCGTTACGTTAAGCCAAGACAACAGTTTCTAAAAACAAGTAATAGTTGTGATACAGAAAACAAACTTTGGCTTTCTTTAAACTGTGTATTCATTTTAACTTCTGAAAAAGCAAAAGTAAAATGACCACCTACTCATAAATGCTGAACCCTTGCTTATATTACTACAATTCTACTATGGTGCTTAGTTGTATTTGCTTATTTCTATGACTTTGTAGGTGCGGAGGGAAATGGGATGAAAAAATGATAGGGTCTAACACTACTCTCTTGAAACATCGTATTTCTCACTCACATGAGGGGAAAATCTTTTTCCTGTTGTTGAACTGTTTTATAAAGTCTTCTCTTCTCCCTCACCCCTTGTACTTTGGAGGAATCAGTTTCTTTCCTCCTTTCTAGAGTAAGTAATTTGAGTTATAAACAATATTTCTAAAACACAATATTATTTAACAAGGCTGATCACGTTATTAAAAAACCACCATATTATCATTTTCACTCATTTTTAACCTAGTATGCTGTGTATTTAAAAGCATTTTTTTCTCTAAATTTTCTTACTAGTGACATGAGATGAAAACAGCACAGGTCCATTTATGATTAAAAAAGACAGTTATGGTTTCTGTAGAAAATAAGTGCAGGTCAGCTCCCTATCATAACTAGCACCCACCTCTGACATACCCGTTTAAGGCCAAGCCCTCTGTTTTTTCAGCCTTTTTCACTAGACATGCTCCTTACATTGCTTCTCATTTATACCTCAAACACACTGACTTTATGTTGTGGTATCTCTTATTTTTCACTCAGAAGTTTTTCAAACTGCCTCTTTCCTAGTATTTTACACAGAGAACATTATAGCCTGAATTCCAAAACTCTATACCACTAGAATTTCTAGTATTTTACACAGAGAACATTATAGCCTGAAATCCAAAACTCTATACCACTAGAATTTCGTCCACCATTTCCCTTGCTTTGTTTTTGTTAAATAAGGGGGTTGCTCAAAAAGCTAGCCAGAGTGGCAAGGAGAAAGCGACCGATTGCTGTGAGCAGAGGTGTTGAATGATGGCAGCATTTCCAGAGAATGCCTGAGAGAAGAGCCTAAGACAGCGTCAAATACAGGTGATTGGGGAGTAGTGAAAGCAAGACTAGATTGCCCTTCAAAAGTAGGGCAACTCCAGGAAAACTCCAAAGTACATTTCTCTAATTCAGATCTATTCTTATGACTTCATATGACTTCCATTGAAACATACCAACAGAATCATAAGTTTCAAACTAATTCCTTGTAGAGAAATAAGGTGTCAGTATGGAGGAGTTGATCCTCGAGCCCTGTTCTATAACTTGTATAAACAAATCGCATCAAAATGTTTGAACTGTGTAACTATTGATTTACATCTCATTAGTTTAAGTAACTCGCTTTGGACACAAAAATGACTGCATTTTGAAGATACAAGCTTACTTCTGTAAAGAGGGTGTTCTTTAAATAAAATTCAACCCCGTGGCTTACTGTAGCTCATATCCCCGTGCTAAAAACGCTGAAAGCACTTACCATCATCAAGCGTGATGTCCTGTAGTCCTATCGTTTGAAAATTCAATTCTCCATCTTCAGGTTCTGGCTTAACGTTCACAGCTGCCCCGTCTGGTGCAAACGGAGATGAGTCGCGCGCGCTGTGGCACGCCAGGGCCGCCGCGCGGCCGCCCAGCGCCGGGCTGTGCGCCTGCGGGGAGTGCTGGCCCGAGCGACCCACAGCGGGCGGCGGGGGAGAGGAGGCAGGTCCTGAGCTGGGAGACTGGTAAGGCATAGGTTGGAGCTGGGGGGAAGATGGTCCAGACAGTGGGGAATGGACCAAAGGATGGGAAGCTGTAGGGGATGGGGATGAAGCAGATGCTGGGTTTGAAGAATGGTATGAGACTTGCTGCAGCTGGGGAGAAGACTGCCCAAGGGATCGACTCATTGTGGAAGAGATGGAGCCCTGCCCAGAGCTCGGGCAGTGGTATCCGATCGATGGCAGGCGAGAAGATGACTGTCCTGAATGAGCTGGGTGTCCTAACGGGTGCCCGGCTGTGCTCGATGTTGACAAAGACCCTGGATTTGACGAATGGAACTGCATTGGTGGGAGAGCTTGGCAGCTAAGATTTATCAAAGGAGGTACAGGTGCATCTTGCTGAAATGAAATACCATCAAATCCTTGGCTGGAGGCAGAGTTCATAGGAAGACCAGAGTGTCCATTATATACGTCATTAGACTGCATAGACTGGTAGGAAGGGCTCACAGGAGGTGCTGATGTTACCTGAAAAGACTGAACCACAGCAGGAGGCAAAACATGACACTCTTCACTGGGACTAAGGTTTCTACCTTGCATATGTGAGAGGTGGGACACCGCCGAGGTCACCATTGCTGTGTAAGGTGGCTGAACTGGACAAACAAGGCTCCTGGGTGATGTAGACAGCAAACCATCATGTGGATGCCCTTGATCTGGGGATGGTAATGGACTTCGGATAGAATGTAGGCCCTGAACGTTGCCTGTGTGAGGCAGGGTCAAAGATGGGACAGCAGACAAATCCACCTCATCTCTGTGCTCTTGTTTCATTATAACTAGAAAGAAACACATTACAATTCCTTATTTTGACCCTGCAGTAAATACAAATGAACTGCTGATTAATAGCCACAATAGTATTGTTAACATAAATGCTGCAATTTCCCTTTCCTTTTTACTCTGCCTTCATTTTCTTGCCTTTATTTGCCAAACTAACTGTTAAAACCCAGAAGAATCTTCCTTCAAAGACAGTTGTTTTGCCTTCTAAATAACCCTCCTAATGCACTCTTGTTTTTAAAATGCATTATCCACCCAACTTGAGAAAGTCCAGAACATCACTAAAGTATATACCTCACTAAATACAAAGGGGGTCACTAAAGTATATAGCTTATTAAATACAAAGAGGGTGTTCATTGCTGCTGGGTGACAAATGAAATTCTTAGTATTTAAACTGTCATGCCCCAATAAAAATGACAACTGAACTTCAGCAACACAATTATGCTGTTTTGATGAGTCTGTTAATTACAACAGTTGTTAACAACATTTAAGTGACGGCAACACCTCTTCTTGTAAAGTGAAGAATTATGAATTCTTCAGACCAGGCACATCTAGCAGTTATGGCAGCTGTAGTCACACTTAATCTCATGAAATTGTGCTGATTTTTAAGCATTAACATTAGAAAAATGCAAAAATTTTGAACTCAACAGTAACAACTTTACTACTCTAACATCCTTACAATCCTTCACACTTAATGTACAACAGGTAACTAGACACTTCTGTGCTTCGTTTAAGCAACGTTATACCATGTGTTATTTTAGAGTACAACGAGCAAGCAAAACCTACGTAATCAGTGTAGTTTAATGGCAGCTGATTTTCTTTTGTCAGTACACAAACTAGCTTTAAAAATATATACATATTAATATGCATATCTGTCTTTAAATGTCAAGTTCTCCAAAGAATACTAAAGAGTCAAGCTCCATCATTAATATTTCATGAAGTGTGTGCATTTTTTAATAGGAAATAGGTGGCAGGCAAAGGAGTGGGCACTGGATATCTAGTAGTATCTATTTCCTCATATCAAATAAACTTATTAATTTAAAATCTGTACAGTATGTGTTTGTGGCTAAATTCCAATCTACGCTCTCTCAACATGCTGCCATGTGTCCAGAGCAAAACTATTGTTGTCCTCGTATCTAAAATTACTTTTCTCTCTCAACATGCTGCCATGCGTCCAGAGCAAAACTATTCTTTGTTGTCCTCGTATCTAAAATTACTTTATGAGGGAAGGAAGGTAGTAGTCAGTGGGGAATAAAGTATGTAATACTCCATAATAACCATTCTTTTATGAACTTGCTGTCATCCACATCCTCATTTGTAATTCACTATCATTCCCACAGGAAGGCAAATTATTTCATAAAACATGTACCCAAAGAATACCTGGCTATGTTCATAACAGTATATATTATTCTAAAATTTAAGTTTTTTCTTTAGACAAATGTACAGATTTACTGGACAAATGTACAAATAACTCAAAGATAGTCTTACCTACCTGTCAAAGTTATAAGATCATTTGAATTACTTTTGAAAGACTATTTAAAAAAAAAATCAGGAATTTGATATTAATTTAATACCTGGTGTGTAAGTAAAACGTTGAGACTGGCTTTTTTTCCTCTTGCCATTGCAGAGATAAAACTGCACCTGAACTGCAGCTGTAATAGTTTTGTTATGGTATGGAGGAACCTCAAGAACGATGTTTGCCTACATGAAGGTTGAAACAAAGAAAGCTTTACATATTAAATATAAGTGAAACCACTATTAATTACAGGAACATTAAAACACTTCCTGCAAGACTAAGGCAAACTGATACTTTGAAAAAGATAAGCTTCAAGTTTATGTATATATTACTTAAACAATACTACAACAAACATCTATTTGGAGACTTTTTTTTTTTTTAAGCAAAACAAAACAACAACAACAAAAACCACAAGTGTTCTAGGAGTAATGCTTTTAATTAAACCAGTCTTTTAGATGCATCTATTTCCCACAGCATACATAAACTCTAGAAGTCCAAGAATTGCATTTCAAAACATTAATATTGTAAGAATAATTCTAATGCACTGGTAATTATTTCTCATCTTAGCAAAATTATCTTCATTTTTCTGCTTATAGCAGAGAAGAGTGTACACTATTTGCAGTTTCTTCAAAGCATCATTTTAGTGGCTGCTTTATAGTATTAATTCAATTAAGAAGTCTCCAGTTGTCTGTCTAAATTTGCCAATGATCTGCTTTGCTAAATAATATCTAAGCTTTAGAACAATAATGACTAGTTTCTCACTTTAAAACATAAAGCTTTCTAAAGAAAGAAAAATTAAGTTTCTCACCCCTTGACACTTTTCCCTAATTATTTTCCCTTCTACCTCCCACTGAGGTCGTCCATCTGTTGAGAGAAATTTACAAATAAATCAGGCAAAAAGTATTTTCTGAAATACTTAAATATCTAAAACTGCATTTAATTTCAGCCATAAAGTAATAGTTGTGAGGAAGGATTCTGCATTTTAACAGACTACATACTGTTAGATTTAACTCCAGAGGAAATACCATATAGTACAAAATATTTGGATGGATTTTTTTTTCTTTTTTTTCCTCTAAGGCTACTAATACTTGTTTATTGAAACAAATATGCTGAAGATTTACAAGTCAGCAAGCAAGAGCTAACAGCTTCATGTACAGAGCTATACATTATATATTTAAACAACACCCTCCCCCTTGAATACTGAACCCAAACACCCTGCAGCAAGTTGCAGCCGCAGTGCAAGCTGCCTGTGCTGGGAGGAAAGCGAGGTTCCCGTGCGGAGAAGCCTCTGACCTGGCGTGATCCCAAATCCAGGTTGGCTTTTGTGCAAGTTAACCCGGGAACATATTGTCTAGCTCCAGCACTTCTTCACAAGAGGGTCAAGTTATGTGTAGCAAAATATATTATATAAAAAACAATTAAGCATTTCATGGAGGAATAATGCACACATCTGCTCTACTTCAACTACTTTACACATAGCACATGTAACTAACATGGGTCATGCTGGTCAACTTGACAGTTAAGTTGCTTTGGCTATCTAAGTGGCATCTGTAATGATCTTATATTATCAACTTACTTATTCCTGTATGCAGAGAAGAGCCTTAATTTCTCACATAACCCTCTCCAGATTTTGTTTTTAATATATCCTGTCTAGGGTCTGTCTCATCTATGAGGCTTTTTGTTAAGCACTTTAAAATTTGCTTTGCTTCATTTTATAAAAGAAAAAGGTTATACACAACCAAGAAGGTTTTGGAAAAACAAGTGTTGCAAAGGCTCCAAACTATTTTCATAGTTACTATAGTTTTTCATATATACTGTTGACTTCCTGTTAAAGATGTTATTTTTTAAATGAAGATTTTTACTCTTAAGCCATGTAGTTGATATCTGCTGAAACATCAGCTAATTCAAGGCAATTCAAAATTCTCAAGCTGAATTTCAAGAAAAATGGTTAAGGTAGAAATAAATGCTAACTATTAATCAAGATACTTATCCAAAAGAGCTACAGAACTAGGAAGTAGTACTGAACAACTGAATATCTTTAAATAATACTTGAAGGGATGTGTATGTGTGTAAGCTTATTACAAAATCATGACAAAAACATATGTGCAAAACACTTGACTGGATTCAGTTATAATACATGAAAAGTTAAAAATATTTTTGGCTATTTAATTCTCCAGGGTAGAACATGACAGAAGAGAGCAAAAACACAATTTAAGGAAAATAAACAAAAATCTAAGAAGGCCAAACCCTTCTAACTGCACTTAGATTTAAAAAAAAGGCTGCTTTTGAAGTATTCAGCCAAAGTCTGCAAACTGCTTGCACACTCCTACTTCCTAGACATTAAGCTGAAAATTTCATCTACTATCCTCCCAAAATCAAATGTTTTTCACCTCATGAGATCAGTAGGAAACAGATTCTTCTGAAAATACGAATGCAAAAAATGTCTGCTGCATACCTTAAGTGAAAGGCACCCCTGCAATTTTATATATACATATATACACACACACATATATATATATTTAAATTTTGATATAGAAGGGTGAACCTGCTGCAGTTCTTATCTATGACTGAATGACATCCAAAATACTGAAGCTGGTCAACTGGCTACAGCATTCCTGATTACTTAGTGTTCGAATGCATGCATGGCTCAAAGCATGTGTTTAACTAGAATTTATTTCACTAGCTTAGGACTAAGTTGGTTCTTTTACAACACTGTCATTAGTTAACATGTTAATTTTTAATTTTCCATCAACCATAACCATCAACCAGTACACAGATCTGTGCTCACACTGAACTTTCAGACCACTACTTGCAGTATTTTCATTTTTTAAACATCTTCAAATTCATGTAGTTTTTCTTTCTGTTTGGTTGGGGTTTTTTGTTGTTTTTAAGGGAAAAAAGTAAAGTATTTACCTTGCCCTTTTTCAAAGAAGATAATTTTTGATTCTGGAAGAAAATTGGATCCTGTTACTACCATTTCATGGCCTCCATTTACTGAGCAACTGTTGATACTGTACTTCTCAATCTGAGGAAGTTCTTGAGCCGATCGCTGAGCTTTAAGAAAAAAGTTTTAAGAAAGAATAATTATTCATGATTTTAGGCCATAGTGACATGACTGGAAGAATCATATGTAAAACTAAAAAAGTCATCTATTTGCCGATATAAACCATACTTGCATACTGATTATTTTGGGAGTTAATTTTAAAAAAGAATAACAAGAAGCCATGAAACATAGGGAGAGGAAAAAAAATCTTGATTTAAAAGTCACTGTACTATTTCAAAGACACAACAAGCTCTAGGAGAAATTATTTAAGACTGTGTTTTCATTCTTTACTGCCGGTATTTAATAAACCCTGCAAATAAAATTTATTTTTCACTAAGATCTATCAGCTACCTCTCCTCATCTACAGGAAAATACAGAAGTGTTACATATTAGGCTTATTTATATTAGCTTTGTAGCCTAGAGAATTACATAGCTCCTCCCAATTTACACGTTATCATTTGGCAAGTACCAACTTGAGTTTTTTGGTAATTTAGCTTTTAACTTTTTACTTACAAAAATATTTTTACAGAGACACCAGGAAAACAACATTAAAATACTACACGTCTAAATTAATATGTATAGTTAAAGCCATCTTACAGCATTCAACAGGTATGGAAGCAGTCTGAAGAGACAAGACTTTTCCACTAGGTTGTGGGATGTGAACACGAAACACCAGGCGCACTCTAGTATTCTTGCGTCCAATATCTGTCTCTCCTTTACGGAGCTCTATGTCGGAATTGCGAAGCTTCAGAATACCTGCACAATCGATACTGGCGATGGGGGAGGAAGGGTGGATAAGAGGAGAGATGGGAGGGAAAAAAAAGTTATCTATAGAAGATATGCTATAAAGTCTGTCTTTGTTAAAGAAGCAAGAGCAGTCCATTCTCCTCTGTGCACTGCTATTTTAAATGTCTGAAGCCAGGAGATGTCAGCCTCAAAAACGGCAGCAAGTTCTTTGCTGAAACAGTTTGTCTTGTAAACATCTAGCTGCTCCTTTTTTGAACCTTGAAAAGATTATGTATTACTGCACTTAATTACCTGCTGCTAACCATTTGGACTAAGTTAGTTAATGGAGTAAACAAAGTCCAAGAAACAAGAGATCTATATTCCGTTCTCATTAGGATAGGCTACAGGATGTAAAAGCTGCAACTGTCAAATCTTCCCTATGATTCTGGAATGCCAGGGCCACACAGTCACAGGTTACTGGTAGAAGCCACACAAACTTTAATGAATTAACATGGGCAAACTTCTGGAGTGCATGTCACTGTCAGCTTACACATTCAGGAGAACTAGCACCAAGTCTGTAACTGTAGGGAAGTCTAAACTGGCTTCATGAGAAGGTTGCAGTAGGAAATAAGTGAGCACAGTCAACTTCATAGTTATGCTTTACATGGTTTACCAGTCCCCCGGGCATAACTGAGCAGTTTCATTGTTTCTGTAGGGCACATCATACTATTTTTCAGCATATTCTATCTGGCAAAACCTAAATGTCAGAATAATGCAACTGCTGCTAAAAATAAAAAAAAGAAAGAAAAAAAAATCAAATAAAATGAAAAGGCTTCCTGTCAGGATGCAAGAAATGAAGACAACCACATTCAATAAAGAGTTAAGCAACAAGCAATTAAAACTACATGACTACACACACAAGTCATATGTCACTGTAAAAATGAACAAAATCCTCCCCTTAACCAGCCAGTAAAAATGCACATAGAGCTCTGGAACTGTGGCAGAAAAAGGTTTCACCCAAAGGCCTCGTCCATCCCCCTTAGGTAATAAGGGCTCCCACATCTCTCCCACAAGCTCTCCTGTGCTGTGCATTGCCCTGGACTGATTCTGAACACTGGCATGTTTAAAGGGAAGGGCCTAACATAATCCTGAGTTATACTGGGGAAAAAGCTGAAAAAAGTCAAAGTCATCAATTATCTTCATCCACATGGGAATCAAGACAGATGTCAGGGAATTAAACAGCTCATTTAAGCTTTATGTTGCAATGTACCTGGCTGACATGTTATTTTCAGGAAGAAGTGGAATTTCCAAGACTTTTGTGCTAGCAATTATTATCTCTTGACTAGCAGTAGCAACTGTTTTTCCAGTGATTCGGTGCACCTGGTAAAACGCATGAGGCCGCAAGTAGCGATCATCTGCTGTTCCAATGAACATCTGTAGGTTTACTGGCTTTTCATTGTAGCCTAGGAGCTGATGAAAAAGTAGACATAGCATTAAAATATTAGCTGATTTTTACTGCACTTACATGGGCCATAATATAAACATACAACTACTGCAAGCACTGAAGAGTGAAAGAATCATATCAAATCACATCAAACTTGTCCAATTCCTTATGTTTCCTTCAAAGCTGAGGCAGAACAGGCACAGACATCTATCCTCCAAGACAGATTATCAGCAACAACATTCATCAGAACTAATCAATGTCAAAGCATCTTTATTCCTTTTGAATTTTTCATAGAGAAAAGAATCCTTCTACTCTCCGAATTTTTATGTTAAGGCTATGCTGCATTTTTATTTGTTTTGCTTCAAAGCAGACTTACCTATTTTTGTAAGTACCACCTAACTCCCAAGGTTAGTTTTTCTATTATGGCATGCCTAACTTGAGGGGTCTTGTGAATGCAAAAATATTTTGTTAGGACAAGAAAAAATTAAACTGTATCTAGAAAATCAACTACAGCTTATTTCTGGTAAAGAAAACATTTTAAGGAGGAAAAAAAAAAAAAGCCACACCCACACACACCAATAACTGTAACATTAATGCACAGAACTTTCCTTTTCTCAAGTGCATGGCTACCTAATTCCCTACGCTCAGTTTGTCTCAAAATCCCCCCAAAAAAAGAAAATCTGAGAACCTGTTGCAATACTTGAACTAACATTAAGTAGTTCTAGACATGAAACAAATCAATATATAGGAAAACAATAAGTTTAAATAAGCTCCAGAAGATCAGGCAAGATTTACTATGGTGCATCAGTAAGATAATTACCCAGAGAATTTAAGGAAGCAAATCTAACCAATACTAACACACACACTTCCCTTAGTCTCTGCTACATCTGAGGCCTATATAACATGAAGCATTAATTCCCCTTCCTGACATTTACAGATGAATGCATGCATACCACAAGCTATATAATCTGTAAAGTAATGCAACAAATCTACACATCACCTGTTTTGACTTATAAGCATATAAACATTGCCTTATATTAGAACTGTAGGAAGGACCAGAAAGTCATTCCTCAAACTTTTTTTTTTTCTTTTTTAAATCTTGTCTTCAATATTTCTTTCACCATGTATTTGGTCACACAGCAACATTATCTAAGCTCTTCACAGAACTAATGCTTAAGGAAATAAACAAACAAAAGCCCTGTTAAGTTTAACGAGGTTGCAAGAATAACATGAGTGGTCAAAAAGCCACCAGTCAGCTGTACAACAACTGCCCCCGTGCAAATGGGCATCAAAAGCACACCTAGATTTTGATGGAAATACGTTTTTTGTACACCAAAAGCATATCTCTTTCCCATTTTTAAGTTATGGCTCCAAGAGCACCTATCCGTCTCGCCAAGAGCAGCAGTTGGGATTCTGCCTGACGCCTTTAAAGAGCCAGGGTGCTCCCTAGGCTCTCCACTGCGCTCTGGAATTACATTTTTCCCAAAGATGCACTGCTCATGGATTTGTCTATCTAGCTACACCACCCCGGTCACACTGTCTTTCCCTTCATTTCAGGTACCGCTTTCTTCTTTCACTGCTGTTAAATGTTATTGAGAAGCAGAATAGCAAAATCACTCAAGACTATCAAAATTGAATTTGCCAAAAATAAATAAAACTTCTCCCATCATGCCTCCATATCCTACACATGGACAACTTAAAACAATTCCCAGATAAAACCTCCAGAAGAGCTGCAACTGCATAGATATAACTGTTATTGGGCACCAACCTACTTAGCTTGAACAGCTGAGACAAAACCATGCTTGATCTAATACATTGTTTCTGTTACAATTACAGCATTGGAATTCACTCCGAAATAAATCTCCCATTTTTCTACTCTTTTAGAGTAAGAAGCTCTTCGAAGTCACACAGGCATCATATTCTTGAAGTTTTTTACAGCAGCGGACTGAAAGGCAAGAAATCAGCTGTTTGCCTCTCTCTCTATATATATCTTAGCATTGCCCCGTCAGTAGGGCAGCCTGCACTGCCTGTTGGGGTCCGTGACCGTGCCCAGCACTAGGCTTGCTCCAAGTGTTCCTACACCGCAATCTGCTTCTGTTGTTCTTGATTAAAGAGTAACCCTTTACACTCCCTCGTTCTAGAAAAGTCAGAGCATAACAGAGGAGAGAGGTGGCATTACCATAAAGCGTAGCTGGGTTTTAACTGCATTTCTAGATTATTGGTGGCCATGGTCTAACATTCAGATTGTAAAGATATCAGCTACAGAGCTATAATTATAGCTGAGAGCTGTTTTGCATGAAAAGCATAAGTTTCCTTTTATTAAGGACTAAAAATATGACTTCTCTTTCTTATTTTTAGGCTTACAGCATGGTTCGGGAAAACACCCGGGCAATCTGCATGTGTGCTGCAGGCCAGGTGCCTCCCCCTGTCACCCCTTGCGTTCAGGAAGGACGGTCGGCTCAAAAGGCAGCTGCAAGCAAGGACCAGGGTCAGGCATGTCAACTGCTCTTCCTGCCCCAAGAGCTGGTATAAACCAAGAGTTTTTGGACTTGACTACCGCCACCAGCTTTCTAAAGGATTTTCCTGCTTTGAAGCCACAAAACAGTCTCAGCGATAAATCAGCGCAGCAGAATCACCCCAATAAAGTCTTGTTTACAACACAGTGCTGCATTAGCAGCCTGCATGTGGCTCAGGCATCAGCCCTTGAAGCAGTAACTGAAGGGTGCTGGTTGAGTGCAGGTCTATTTCCACATATACCTGGCAACATTATTCCAGTAGTACATTGAGCATCTCAGAGCTGCACGCCACATTTTTAAATGATGTTTTTCTTTAAAGCAATCCCACTTTCCCAAGAGCGGCAAGCACCGCTGCGCCCTGTCACTACTGACCTCCAGAAACCCTCCTCTGTAACAGAATCCTGACACACCACCCACTGCTTTGCAGAAGAAACTCCGCCAAGTTGTTTTTGTGTTTCTATATCGTTTCCATAGCAAAGGTCAGTGCATGCGTAAGTTAAACTAAAGCTGGAAGGCTGAAGACTGAAGGTCACTACAGGATAAGCCAGAAGAGCCGCACGCCAGGCGGTCCCAGCGTTACTACGACACTAACTCGTGCACAGCAATATTAAACTTACAACTTCTACCAAGGAACTACAAAGACTCTAAGCTAATATAAAAGCATCTTGTATCAACAAGTAGATAACTTACATTACAGAAACTACATTCCCAATGAACTTATGGAAAAACCTTAAGGAAAAAAGTTTAACACTAGAGACTCTAATTTGACTACTCAAGAGAGTGGCATTTAAACTGGGGTGTTGGTGGTAGCAATGAGAAACTTGCTTTCTTTCTCAGGAAAGGAAGTAGGTCACATTAAATAAGAGACCTTAACCTGGAAAAAAAAAGTTACTGTTTTTCCACAGGTTGCATGCAGATTTTATTGGGGCCCCATCTTGCTCACATGTCATCATTTCCACACTCTGATCTCTGATAAAGGAAGCCTTGCAACACCCGACAAGCCTCTCAGAAGGCTTTTTTTAGTCATTCATATTTAGAAGTTTTACTTCCTATTCCTTTTTTCAACTGAGAAGGTTCATGTGTGTTGCTGTATGCCAAAAATCTTTTCAAATCTAGACGGTATTTATTCACAAGATGTGATTTTGTAGGAGTTATAGCTTCAGATGAATATACAACAGGAAAACACATTTCATAGAAAATAGGTGAAATACTTATCAGAGAGTAAACATACTTTGAAGTAGCCTATTTTTCTGAAAAAACAAACAGTATGTTATAAAAGTCATTCTTTAACAATTCAGACAGTGCCAAAAAGTATTTGATTGTATTTGAAAAGTAATTTTCCTGAAAGCTTTCCAGCAATCATTAAGAAATTGCCATTTTTAAACTGGACTTTTACTTGTTTTAACGTTTGCATTTTTCATACTTTGCTGCTAACTGAAGACAAAGATTCTTCTGACACTGAAGTGCTCCTCCCTCTCCCCCACTAAGTCACTGCTTACAGCAATCCCGGCCTCCTAAATTGGGCTGACCAGGGGAACAAAAAAAGGGGCTCTGACTTGAAATAAAAGACCTGTCGGAAAAAAAAAAAAGTGATAACTTAAATGAGAAGATGACCAAATTAACAGTTTGGAGATTCATCAAATGCATCAGTAACCGCGTGTGTGCGTGTGCGCGTGCATGCAAAACTCAGTTCAGGCACAGAAAGGGAAGAAATATATAAAGACTGGAGGAATGCAAGCACTTCAAAAATAGTTTTCCCACTTTTTTTTTTTTTTTTTTTTTAATTTTTAACATTTTGACCAGAAAAGCATGTAACGACATTCCTACAGGGAAAAACGAAAAATCACTATTAAGTTTTTAGTCCACTTTTAAACAGGTCTTTAGCAAATCAACTTTTTAAATCTAACAAAAGTAATATGATAAATGAAGGAAAAAAAACCCTTTGAGGGTTTTGACACACTTTGACACACTGCAAATGTGACCCACAAACACCTAATCTCGTGCCCAAGAGGAACCTGTGCCTGGCTTTAAAGAACCCAGATTCTTTCTTCAGACATTTCTGCTGAAGTACTTGACTTCTGAGTGGTTTGCAGCGACTTTCTTACCACGTTGCAAAGAGTGTTCTTCAAAAACGTAAGGGATTGCTCCAGCAAGTGGAACAGTACACCTACCACAAAGCCTGGGGGATAAAACAAGCAATACGCAAGATGTAGAGGCCTGGAGCTGGATGTAAACCGAAACAAGAAAAGCAGCACATGGTGACTAACACCAGTGTTGCAATTTACCATAAAGTTATCAGCAGGGGCAGTTTGGAAAGGGAAGCTTCAGCTAAAACAAGAAATGAGAATTCAGGGAAGTTAGAGACAGACTGACCACAGTCATCCCAATGGCTTTACTGAGGTGCAATGAGTGCTGGCCTGTGACCTCCCATGAATGAATCCAAGAGAGGCTGGAGAAATCAATGGAAGAAAACTCCCCGCAGCCCTACTGGGCTCCATGGCTTCCGTGCCTGGGATTTGCTTTTATTCCAATTCCACAAAGGTTTTAATATTACAAAATCTCAAAAACTCTAATTTAAAATAAAGATGTTAAAACAAGCAAAAAACCCCCATGTATTTCTCATCCTGAAGTGCGGTACTGTCTTTAGCCTCTCTTGATTATCTGATGCAGCTTTTCATCTTGAAATGAGAAGAAAAAGTATCTACATTACAAAGTATCCCTCCTCTTTTGCTATTAAGCTTACTGAGTAAAGTATCTTGACCATAAAATGGACCTTTGTAAATCCAAAGTAGAAACAAAAGAAGTGAAATATAAAATAAATGTTAATGAACTATTAGACACAGTGGCACAAGCCCAATTGCGAAATCCTTTTAAAGGTCATCTTGAAGACAAATAGATCCTGAAAAGGACCAAAGCAAACAAAAAATTGCCAATATCAGTCCATCACTGGTCACGATTCCATATGGTTATTCTGAGCCTGGATTTCTATTTCTGAAATCTCTCTCTCATAGCCATGCTCACTTCCTGCAGACAAATTTGAAAATTAATGCTAATTTCAGGCATATTTTAAAGAGTGCCTTAAACTTAAAGTCCCATCTTATTCTACTCTACCCCAAAATATCAACACGTACCTAAGTTAGTACTATTCTACTCATACTGTAACTTTGGACTATCGCAGTATTGTAGGTTGTATCTAACCATCAACATATAGCATCCACTGGCAGCTTGTTCCACACTATCCAAAAGACCTTTTACTCCTGAAATCCCAAACCCTCATGGCCAGATTAAGCTGTGGACAGTTTACTGTGATTACTTTCCAGACGACCTGTGTACGTTACCAAAAATCTAGAAATAGTTTTACTCTGCAAGAAAACCTGCCTTTTCCGCCATTTGGTGACATGATGATACAAAAAGCAAAACAGTGTCACTCCAGATTCAGTGTGCCATTTTTCTCACATCAGCTACAGCATTTTTTAGATTCCATATTTTACATGATGACATTTAATATGAGCTATACCATCTATTTTTGGCATTCTAGAGCAGAGGTTCAAATAATCAAATTGTTTCTTTACAAGATGTATTTTTAGAATCTTGTTAAAAAGCCAACATTTTGTCCCATATAGTCCATCCCTTGGCTCACATAGGCCAAGATTTACTTGAATTTACTGAAATGCCTTCAACATTTATTTGTGAATTGCTATCATCAAGCCACAGTAGGCAGTGAGAGCTGACCCTGGCTGTTTTCTGTGTGAGAAGATGAACAAATTCAGCAAAAAACAAACAAACAAACAAAAAAACACTTTTTTTGTGTGTGTGTGTGTTGGGGGGGGAGGATTAATGGAAAGAATCATGAAACACAGAACAGACATGCTGGTCACTGCATTCAAAGAGGAACAAGGAGAACCCTGGTGTTTTATACGCGTTAAATACTTAAACAAATTGGCTGCAGGGATTACTTGGAAAAGAAGTGACAGTCACAGTATTTCAGGCCAGGAAACTGACAACCACTTAATAAACTTTCATTAATTTATTTCTCTCCGTCCATCTCTGACACTGCTCCGTCAGATCCTATCTTGCTGGTCAGAGCTTCTTGGGCCAGAACTCAAGCAGAGTTTGTCAGGTTGTTTGAAGACACAGTCCCTTTTCAGAATTTGCTAAGTAGCTCAAAATCAGCTTACTTGAAAAAGAAAATTAATTTTGAGTTTCATCCATTGCCATCATCTTCAGTCATGACATCAAGTTCTGCTATCAGCTTAAATAGAGCTGCCATTCAACCCCTCTTTCAGGGGCCTCCAAGAATCCTTCCCGCATGGGAGGTTACTGCTTGTTTGTTAATGACTAGAAGTACATAAGCTTGCAAAGAAAACAATCTTCATTTTTATTTTTAAATGCATACTTTTCCTCATATACAGTGATTACGAGTTGTCCTTATTGATTCTATGGTGCTTCATCTTTTCTGTTACTGCAGAATCAATTACTGCAATCACTTTGCACATGGCAAACTGGTGAGTGATTCTATCCTCAGACCCTTCATATGACAAGACAACATTTAGGCCACAGGCAAATCCCTAAATCCAAAGGGTCTTACACACACAGGACGCCCTTCACAATGGGATCTATACGACATCTGTTGTAGACACACCACCAATTTTAAAATAAATTACCCTTTGCGTAGTTCACCTCTGGAACCGAGTCCCATCGTGGTACACGGCCATGTTTGGCTGACAAATGGGTTTGGGTGCCAGAAAGTCAAAACGGTACCTTTCGCCATGCTAATAAGTTATCTTTTCATTCCCTACGAAAACTATCAGTGTTATCTTATAGACTTTCTACCAAGGTAAAATAAATCATTTTAGATTATGCAGATTAGCTGGAACACACCCCAAAGCCAGTAGAGATTAAAAAGGCAGATATGTGCTATTTAAAAGATTTTACCATTAGAACAGCTGAAAACGAGATAATGTCATTATAGAATTTGCTTCCTTAGAGTCTGTGGACTTAAAAAACAAAGCACAATGATCAACTCATTTCATTTCCTCACATTTGGGAATAAGCTGATTAAACACACTCACAATAGATCCTGCCAAATTTGTCAGAAGCTTAGTTTCCTAGCAACAGGTACAGCACAGTATTAGCAATAGATTAATGATTTGCACTATCTTACAACCTTTAAAGAGCACATCAACTTCATAGTGAAACAACAGCGGTTTTATAGTTCAGAAATTTATTATAAATATTCTAACTTTCTACAAATCACTGTTCAAGAACAAAATCCATTTTATCACAGACAAGGGCACACAGGCGCTCAGGCACCCAAGTCCTTTCTTAACTCTGACCCTGGTTGCCTACAGTTATTTTACCCAAGAAAAGGCTAAACGTGCTTTATTGCAATGATCTCACCCGTGGAAGTAACCGGCATAAAGCCAAAAATACTGAAAAGAAAACCTCAGGACAGGTAAAAATAAAAATGCATATCCTCAACTGTGTGTGTGCAAGAAGCCACAGCAAGTGCCTGGAAAGAGGGCACCTAGGTGAATAAGTACTTTACATTCGCTCACAGCTATCAGAATTTTCTTTTCACTAAATTTGACCTATAGCATACTATTTCCCCTTGCAGCAAGTAAAAAGTTAATAAGAATCAATGTTTTGTTTCTTAACAACTTCCTCTCTCCCATCAAGCACAACAATTAAATTCTAATCCAGCTAGAAGAGACCAAATTGCAAAACTGAATATTGATTTGCATTTCTATTCATTTTAATTTAGTGAGGCAGGGTACGATTCCTGAGTATATACACAGGACTGGGAAACACAGACATAAACACCAACCCCCATTTTCCATAAAAATTTTTTATCATACCAAGATATTTCACAATTCTAATGTAAACACACAGCTCTTAAAACCATCAGTATAATGCACATACAGATATGTTGCTTCTGATCTGCAGCTAGTAACATCTCACTCTAAGTAAAAGAAACCCTAAATTTATTTGCCAAATCTTATAAACATCAGCAAAACAAGCTCCTGTAATGCAAATACTAGTGCAATACACAAAGGACCAGAGCAAAAAAAAAAAAAAAAAAAAAACCCAAAACAAACCAACAAACACACAAAATATGCTGGTAACAAACGTTTAGCAGGGTCCGCCTGGCTAAAGCAACACAATGTTGCACATGAAATGTACTCCACTGACTACTTTCAGCTCCCAGCCTAGCTCAGGCATCCTCACTTTTATGCTGGTGCATCTTGATTGACAGGTGTTGTGCTAAGATGGCATGTGCTTATCTTGGTAAGTGGAACAGACATTGTATTTGTTAAGAATATGGTCTGGGCTGCCCTCCTGGATGTGGAAGGAATCTATTTCATGTTCAGGTGCTAAATTCTCTGTCTAAACTCCTAGAAAGTTTTGCAGAACAAATTAGCCATAACCGCCGCAACGTCACTGGCTGCTCCTCGATGGCTGGCAGTCATATGGGAGCAGTAACAGCTTGTGAACAGAAACCCCCAGCCACAATAGCTGTTTACCAAACCCAAGCTTTTTTTTTTTTTTAAATAAAAGAACCCAGCATGAGCAGGTGTTAGCGACAGTTATCAGGAGTGAAAGCAAGCAGTACTACCACTGCTCTTAGTCAGATGAGATGCACTGCTGCATTTTCTTCAGTCCTTGAAACTGATCTAAATCTTCTGAGAGACAAAATAAAGCCCAACTGATTTTGTTAATGCAACATAAATGATGACAAAAAAGGAGAGAAAGGAATGAGTCTTACTTTCCCTTACAGATTAACAGCCCACAGCTAAATAAACGAGGTGATGCCTCATTTTATAAGGAGATAGCTACAAATAAACTGTCAGTAATGACCTTGGGGTCTTGCTGAAGAAAGAAAAGTCAAGGTTAATTTACTTCAAATAGTTATGTTCAACACATCTATGGAAAACATTTTGCAGAAATAACCAAATAAAAAACAAATGAACAACAGCTAACAAACTCTTTCAATTGAGGCACCTATAGCGCTTAGCAGCTTACAATAAATACCAAAAGAAAGATGATAAATGGTTCAAATGAAGCTATGTCATATTCGACTATACCCACAATTAATCTATTACTGCAAGTTTACTCCCCCCATCCTCCTTTCCCATCTCAAATTCAATACATACCTAACATATTACTCAACAGCAAATTCCTTAGCAAACATAAAATGAACTGTTACATACTCTGTAATTGTAGCAAGCAGTAAATTCTTAAACATACAAATCTCAACTGCTACACTGAACAAGATATACTTAGGAGAGAAATCTTGCAGGTGGAGGAACACAGGCTCCACAGAATGTAACAATCTATAGTACTGTAAATACCAGTGAGCAGAATCAATAGTAAAATTTACCTTCTCTTCAAGAAAACCAGACTTCCTACCTTCACTACTGGGTGTCCTCCAGTAGATGCTTTTACTGCTCCTCTGCTTCCTTCTGTTTCATAGTGAGCTCTATGATGAGTTTTGGGCTGGACTTCTATTTTCAGTTCACACTGCCCATAATGGCTTGGTAAAGGCCAGTCAAGAGGTGGCAAAGAAGATGTGCTGCAATCAGGATATGCACACTATGGTTACATCAACTATGCCATTTAGCCAGAGTACAATGAATATAACTTTAAAATACACACAAATAATACTGCTTACCTACCATATGACTGTCAAATAAGAATAGTTATTAGTCTAACACAGTCGCTTGAAAATTCCAACATTTGGCTGATACATTAAAATCTTTAATTGGAATATTTCTTCTGGAGTTGTTGAGCGCTGTATTTCTTCCTTCTGATACCTGATTAAAAGGCATGACTCCATGTCCCACATTACCAGTGCTATTCCATACCTGCTCTTAGATTATTTTTTATCCTCAAGTAAACTAGCAAGCAAGTTTAAACTGTGTTAAAGGGACCAGTTAACTTCAACAGGATCTAAAGCAAGCCTGCCTGGTCTGTGAGTCATTACATTTTAACAGTCTGCATCATTATCTTAAAGTTAGCACTACATTTTGCTAAATATCATTAAACACTATATGATGATCCACATTTTTAAAAGACTAGTAGCCCACCTAAGCATGAAGACTTTGTACACCAGGCAACAAACAAAGTCAAAGACATCTGAAGTACTCACTTAGCTTACCCACACTATACCCTGACACAGCTCCTCTCCATGTGATGCCTCTCCATGGAAGGAGGAAAAAATGCATTACTAGCAGCAATATGGAAGAATCTCAGAAGGAAATAAGCCACACATTTTCACCAGTCTTTTTTATACCTACCCTTTGACCTGCATAAATTCAGACTTACAACTCCAGTAAGATGAACAGCCAGATTCAAGTCAGTAATTATCCAGTAGACCAAATGAATACAAAGTAAAAAAGAAGCATTTATCCTGAATGTTTATACCGCTGGGTACAGCACAAGAACATTTGCATTCCTGTAAAGTGCTTTTCAACACCATACTTAGACCAATTGGGAAAACAAGTCTGGCTTTAAGGAGGCAGCCAAATAATGGTTTGTACCATCTTCTGCAAATGCTCAAATCCATTCCTTTCCTCTTTACAGGAAGTGGAGAGAAAAAAAAAAAAAAACACTATCCAAAACCATGCGAATTTGCATAAACACTAGCAGCTCCCAACCCCTCACTTAAACCTGCTGGAGAATTCACCCCAGACCTGTAAAGCATGTGCACTGCTGGCACAGAATGTTAGGACTGAATGAAAAAGAAAGTCCTGCCTTTAGTGAGTATGTGGATGGGCTTGGGATCAGCCTGCAGCACCATCCATAAAAATATTAAGAACAGTTTAGAAAGACAAGTAGCAAACAAGAAATTTGTCTTTTCTAAGTCTAAAGACTCTCCCCCTGCCCCCATTTTGTCAAATATGTCAAAACAGTTTGTGTGCACAGTGACTAGTCCCTAAGAGGACTTGGTATAACATGTGAACCACAGACTAGATATTGGGAACTAAAAAGTATTACTGAATATTATATATTAAAATCATTAAAGAAAATATTTGTTGATTATGGTTACTCTCCATCAAATTTCAGAGAGGTTTACTCTTTCTGCAATCAACCATTAAAACATGGCATAAGCTATATTAGACAGCTCTATCAATTCTCATTATCTCCTATAATAATATTTGCAATACTAGAACAAACATGGAGACAGGAAAGAAACCAAGTCTCAAGATTTTTTTATTCTTTGAAAACAAATAGAAAATATCAGCAGGAGAGCAAGCACACACGCATGTGCAGATGCCTAAAATATTAAAAGTTTGGAAATATTTCAAAATGTAGTTTTCCTAACTGTTGATTTTCAGGCTGTGCTGTATTGAACTGTTACTTTCGAGATGCAGCAGGCTACAGATTTGCAGTAGTTTCCATTTAGAGGACAGGAAAAAAAAAAAAAAAAAAAAAAAAAGATGCTGGATATCCTGGATATCTAGGCCACAAATGTTTCTCTTTTAATGTTTTTCTTGTTGTTTCTACCATTACAATCTTAAAATTTTTTATGGTATGGTTCTGTGTAGGTTGTTTTCCTAAGGGGATATCAATTTTATGGAGTTAGTGTATCAGTTTAATACAAAGCATTAAAAAAAAAAAAAAAAGTAATATGATGGTTCCCCATCATTTGTGTTTTTCTGAATCTTTTGAGGCTACACACTGATCTGGATCACTGATCTGTGGTTTCATTTAGTTTTGAAAAGAAAATTTTTGACTATGATAAATTTATCAGAGCTCCAGCTTCTTCAAATAGAACGAAGGAGAACAGCTTGGAGTGGCACCTTCTCCAAGTCACATGGAAACCACCCCGCAGAATGACACTAAATGAACAATTAACTAACAGATCCCAATACAAAATGCACACTCTATTTTTCTACTCCATGCAGAAACTGACATAAAAACAAAACAAAATCAGAAGAATCACTCAGTGTTTTGGGGCAGGGGGAACATTTTTGTACACATCAAACATTTCTTCATGTGAAGTCACACAATACCTGACACTGGAGTGGGAAAATATGTCTGAAGCCCCTATAGCCTTATTGCATTTATGTATAAGTCTTGTTCTAAATGAACTATTAGGGGAGGATCAGCACTAAATTGAAGTCTTCCCCATAGACTCATCATTGTTTTATCAGTGGTAAAATGTGTATTTAACTAAGGTATGTTTTAGATTACATAAATATCATCAGACTAAAAAATTTTAGTGCTGCTCCACTCTCAGAAGACCTAGAACATGTTCAAGAGTAGGAGAATCAGTTGCTTAAGAAACTTGCTGGTGCTGTAGAAAGATTTCAACCTCTTCCACCTCACATAGCAAGATGACACTTGCGTTAAAATGATAAAGCCATTTTATTTTCCATTCAGAACACAGAATCGAGATCAACTGTTCACTTTTTTTTTTTTAAAGTCATTTCAGATCATAATATTAAAAGAAACATGATCTTATATTGTTAAAAATCAGTCATTTCTGAACTTTGATGGGAGGAGGAACACATTTGTAGCCATTTACACATGTTTATTAGGAAAAGACGGCCTGGTTCATTACCAAAGTAGTTACAATAGCTTGTGGCTTCAGATGAAAAAAAAAAAAAAAAAAAAAAAAAAAAAAAAGAAGCCTTAAAAGCCTTAACAGCCAACTAGTAAAGCCGCAAATGCTTCATCAGGAAACAGGAATAACCAGTGACAGCCATCCTACATGATTCATTAAATCAAGTTTTAACATGTTGGTGATACAGCACCCATCTATAAATCTACAAATGTTCTTTCAGTAATACCAAGAGTTTTATAATCCGATTAATGCAAGTCTCCAAAAGCTCCTATCACATCAAGATTAAAGGCTTTGGAGAACAGCTGCTATTAAAGGAAACTCGGAAGGAAGCCCTCAGTAGCATCCTCAGCACAAGACACAGTATTTAAAATTACCCCTTCAGCATTCACAAAATGCATTTAATCCACAGCATCCTCACCTGCATCCATCATGTGTGAACCAGAATTGACTCAGGTTGCCCAAAACAGACAAGGACACATGTGACATTCAGCATGCAGGCAGTCAAACGAATCCACTTCTCCGATTTCACTTCTCTGTGGGCCTGGGCATTGACTCTGCCCCTCTTGCAGAAGAAGAAACAAATCCCAGATGCTCTGGAGCATCCTGCAGGGCAGTAGAAGTGGCTTTGCACCAGACTAAGGCTCTTCTCTGCTCTGCCCACATTCATTGCAGTGGCCAATGAGGGCCACTAAAAACCATTGGTTAAAACTCTAAAATGGGCATTTTCCATTAGGAGCACTAAGACTGTGTGGTTCATTGGACAGACAGTTGTGACATGAGAGGGTCCTTGTGCTGGTAGAACCTGCTTGTGCTGCTACCTTGACCGAAGTGTTTGCAGGATCAGCTCTGTTTTAGTCTAATGCCTTCCTGGATTCCTCATTTCGAAAGAAGGGGAGCTGATGCAAGAACTCCTTTTAGCCACCCTGAACGAACACGCTTCTACCTCCTTCTAGGCACTAGTTGTAAGAAAGACCTTTTGAAGATATCCACAAGGACTTGAAAATGCTACTGAAAGTTATTTCCTTGGCCAGTTAAAATTCACAGGTTGTCTAGAATGACCAGCTGATCATTTCTCAGTTGCAGCAGAAATAACACTTTCCACGTACATCTCTCCCAATACATCAAAATTTGACTGCAGGAAAGGCTTGTTGACCGTATGATGGATATTTCACATCTTTTTCTCATCCTGAGTTTTAACAGGGAATAACCAACAGCCACGGTTACCCTGTGACAAGTGAATGTTAAGACACAGTAAACCTTGTGCATCTTGTATCCTAACTGCAGCCCCTTTCAAGAACACTTGTAGAGCCAAAACACTGCGGGGATTGTGCTGCACTGCACAGAGGAACATTTCCTTAGGTGGAGCAATTCAGGAATTAATAATTTTGGGGACATTCCACCTGCCACAGTGGGTTATCAGCAGTTTTTTTTTTTTTTTTTTTTTTTTTGTAATAGTATGTACATCCAAAATATAACCGTTTCACTATCAAACCTGCAGTTAAATATACTTCCAGAGTACTGATAAAGCATATTGCCAAGTAAAATCTGTATTCTATCATGTCAGAACAAAGCAGAAAACTTAAATCTTACCTGTAGCACAGAGGTCCTGTATTAAAGCACTATCTGAACTTCTTTAGATTCATTAATAATGTGTAAACATTACAGCAATAGCCTAGCTTATTAAAGCCCTAAGAGGTTCAAAGTTCTCTTGCTTGTCTCACTTAAGTGGGTACTTATCTTCAAAGTCAGCGATTTGCAAATATTTTCACTTGAAAGTTTTGCTAACACAGCATAACTGCTGTTATTTCTATTTAACAGAAAACAGATGGATAGATACGTAGCAAATAAGCTTGTTCATAGTCCACTCACACTGAATGGTTTGCTCTTAAAATTAGGACTGACAGTCCAGCAGTTATGTTAAAAACTGAACATAATTCTGTTCTCCCGACTTCCAAATTGTCCTGAATCCTTAGGGATTCAGACAAGAAAGATAACTATTCCAGTTCTTGCCTATCTAGCTCTACTTTATCCTCACAAAGCAACATCAGCAGCAGTCCCAGCTGCCAGGAACAACTGCCAGACAAGAGCAAGAAAGATGCTCTCACACTGCCATTTATCATCATTATTGAAGAGATTCCTGAACTGTAAATACATCACCAAAGCCTGTTTGCTCTTCACCACCACAGCATAAAGAAACTCTTCAATATCCTATTACTTCAACATGTTTTAGAGTTAAATTTGCAACGTTGTGTTCTTAAGACAAACATCAGTTCATATAGTAGTTTTATATTAACTCTTCCCAACACTGAAAACACTATAATGTAAAGTCAACTTACAGCTAAGAATTCCATGAGAGAAGCAACAGTTAAAGAAAAATATTTTTTATTTCAATATTTTTTCCCATTAATAAATACTGCCACTGTTATCCAGTGGATACAAAAGCACAATTTGCTGCTGTCAAAGACTTGCTGCAAGGGTTGAAGAAACAAAACACACCAGCCCCCTGAATTAAGTGTACTAGCCTAAAAAAATGTTTATTTGCCACGTGATTTAGACTCTCAGGAGCTAATATGCAAAACTCTTAGCCTACTGTCCCACCACCCATTCCTATCACAAGATATAAATTAAAAAGCAACAACTCCGCAAAGGCACCAATAACAGAACCAAGCACCACTTGCAATTTCCCCATCTCATCCACCCATCTAATGCAACCACAGAGCGTCGCCTCAGTCGGCGCTGCCCAAGTGTCTGTCATCGCTGAAGAATTTTACTTCTAGTGATATGCCTCCACCCTAAGTATCATTATATTTTTTCCCTCATCAGAGGTTTCAGGGTCATCCCCATACTCATTTTTTCCCTTCTTCACTGAAGTTTTTAAAAAAAGAAAAAAACACCCACAACCAACTTTTGCACTTTTTGCACTTCCTGGAAATTTTGCAGCTGTAGGCCTGTATCAGGGAGGGAGAAGAACCATCAGCATCAGATTTACAGAACTATGAACATCAATTTGTGTAAAACGAGCATATGTATATCTCTTCAAAATGACATTTACTACTTATCTTTCTAATACAGCAGCTTTGTAATCAAGGAGACTGACTGAAGCATAAGCAATAAAATTTTATTAAAAGAGAGCAGAGTATGTAGTACTAAATGGATATTCCCATAGTAACGAGTACTTCCACTAAACAGGAATTCCACCAAGTTACAAAGAACACAATTCAGAGCTTTCACAGCAAATTGACTTTTCAGATGGCGCCTCAGCATGAATATGAGGATCAAATTTAGCTATTTGAATATGAATAGCCACTAGGAAGAAACACTTTTTTTCTGGTATTCTCCCAGACTATTTATAGCCTACACTGAAACAGGCTGTCTAAATAAGTGAACTCGAATCATCTATGTTTCTTTTTTTTTTTTTTTAAACAGCTAACACAAAATTTAGGAAAAGGAAGAAAGAATCCAATTAATGAAAGAGTCTGAAATCACTCTATGCAACAGCCTAGAAACATGGTTTGAGAGAGACTGGCGGGAGGGGAGAGAGAGTTTTGATGGTAAAATTCAAGCTCTCAAATGGTCCCAAACAATCCCAAACTCAACATCCTCCACGAAACAACGGGGCGATAAGCAAAAAGGGAAGTCAGACACACTACTTGAGGAGGGAAACACAAGACACAAATCCAATACTTACCCCTCACCTGGGGGTGGGAAGATCAAGTGTATTAAACAAGAGCAGCAAGAATGAAAATGCAATAAAATGATCAGATAACCTCACTGCTGAGTATTAGATTTGGTAAATGACAGCACTGGCAGAGAGTCTGAGGCTAATACACTACTCAGAGCTTCAGTATCCCTAGACGTACCAAGAACTATCCAGTTCCTCAATGCCCATTTTATAGGAATTGTTGCAATAGTTCTGTCCTAACCACTCATATGCACTTACCTTACTAGGAAGCAGCAATGTGACTCAGGGCGGATAATGCACATATATTTTTCACATACAACAGACTGGCAAATTATGTATTTGTATCTTAGATAACAATTTGTTATTTGCACACTTAGCCACAGTATGGCCACACTTGGCCCCTCAGTATGAATGGGAGTAAAAAGCTGTTTAAAAAGCAGCGGATCTTCTTGCAATTCATTGCTAAAACATAAAAGCAAGCTGCTCTACTACATAAATTTTAAAATTAAAATATTACATGACAGAATGAAATGGCTGAACATACTGTAGATGCTTTCACTGCATCTGTGGAACAGGCTACAAGCGTCAAGTTCTCTGTTACACTATGAACACAGCTGCTAATGCAACCATTGCCACTAACTCAATGATCAGATTAAAAAAAAAAAAAAAAAAAAAAAAAAGCAAATGTATATTGCTTAATAATTTTGTTCACTTGTGAATAGGTACAGTCCTTATTGTCTTCTTTCTTCTCACTTTTGCAATTAGAGAACTCAGCTACCTTTCCGAATACCTTTCCAAAGAGAAACTAAAACTTGTGATTTAAAATTATCCAAAACTGAAAAAATGACCAAGGGAGTGCTGTTTAAATATATTTAGAGACAAATAACCTATTTCTTACAGCACTCTGCTTTAAAATTAACAGAGCAGATTTGGTATTAACCAAAGTGAGTCCTCCAGGCAACACTGATCTAATCAACATGCATGTCAGTGAAACACAAATTCAATGTTAGATGAACACTGAAGTCTGTTTTGCAGCACCTATTAAAAGGTATCCTTCTGCAAGCTCTTCAAACTATGATTCACTTTACTTCCATCGACTCTAGGAATGTTTCATTGAGTTCCAAAAGTATCGGTAAGGGTTTCACTCAGCTCTGTCTGTATAGCCAAAGATGAGTCCTTGCCTTTACTTCACCAACTAAATAAACTGTATATGGAAAGCATCAACTATAGAAGTCTTCAAAAGAGGGGTAAATATATAATCTTGCTCCACTGCTCTAAATTCTACAAGACCCAAACCGCCAAGAACTGTCATATGCTCAACTGAGAAATGGAAAAGGTATTCTGAAAACAGGCTTGTTTATCAGACAAGCCATCAGGAAGTGATGCATCAAGATGTTAAAATGATGCAAGACTGATAACTAAATTTGGAAAAAGTCACTAGAAAGGGGAATTACTGCTGATATGCTAGCATATTGAAAAGTGGACACTGGCTTTTTCTGAGAAAAAGTTGTTGTTTTGCAGGAGGTCCCTGGGAAGAAGTCTGCTTCAGAAAACTCGCGTTATTAGTTAATTCTAAACTTTGCTAAAAAGTTCTGCTTTCTGAGAGCAGACAAGGCACCAGGTCGGTGTCCTGTAGAACCTCCAAAGATTTAACAGAAATATTTTCTATTTTCCTTCAGTTACCACAATGGTAGAAGTATCTTTGGAACCACAGCCCACAAATGACTTGGTTCTATATGGATTTCAGTATAACATGCAAATTTACTTTCTCTCCAGAATTAGAAACTGTAATCAGGCCAAAGATGCACATGAAAACAAAAATAAAGAAAATCCACTGGTTTTAGGGTTTTTCAGTTTTATAAAAATCATGCAAGTCAAATTTATTTATCTGTATTAAAGTTTTTTACTACTTTTTTACTTAATGAAAACATGCATAGAAGCTGCACACATTTGACTCAGTTGAGCTCTGTGCATTCATGCTGACAAACTTTATTAATGGAGTCAATTGCCTGCATTATACTGTGGCTACCGCAGTTTAAAAAGAAGAAACAGATGGGTATTTGCTGTACCAACTTGCTTTCCTCCAGTTATATAATTTAGCTGGATTACAATAACTTTTTTAGCGTGAATGCATCACTGAAATATAAGCATATTAATATAACTACGTAAGATGCAAAGAACAGGAAAGAGGGAAACCTTCTGAACAACTTACAGATTTTCTAACCACTTACCGAAATATAGGGGTATGGCCAGGCTTTGGTTTGTTCCAAGTAAAGTGCGAAGGAACAGAAAGAAATTGGTCTCCAGGCAAATCTTTTTTCAAGCTATGTTGAGATCCAGCGCAGTCATCTACTGCGGTCTCAAGGGATGACGATAAGTTTCCCTGCTCTTCGGGGCAGAGATCAATTTTTCCAGATAAAGTGGCTGTTTGATCCTCTGAGGTCTTCCTTGTTTTCAGAGGGATGTCAGTCTCTGTACAACACTGAAATGGTGAAAGGCTGGAATTAAGACCTTGTACATTGTGAATAGAAGTGTTTAACCATGTGTCTTCTGTTATGCTTCCTCTGGGGGAATGGCCAGGTGAGGGAGTTGGGGAATGGTGAGGAGAGAGAGAACCCGCGTAGCAAATCTCAGCACTGGAGTGTCGTCGTTTCCCGCAGGGGGACGTGGGTCTTGAGGAGGGCCTTGATGTAGGTCTGGGGCTCAGCCAATTTTCATCTGTGATACTAGTTCTAGGAGAATGACAGGGAGATTGTCTGGGTGACAAGGCATGCCCAAATCCATATGGTTGTTGCCAAGATTCATCACTGGGACCTCTTGGAGAGCCACCAGGAGATGCCAAAGGAGAGCCAAGGGTAAAACGCGCAGCCGCTTCATTGAGTTCTGAGTCTACATCATCATAAACATGGGAAATGGATTCACAGGAGGAAGCATCTGAAAACCAGCTTCTGGAGGAAATGCTGCTGGCAGGGCTCGGGCTAAGGGATGATTCCCTGTATGATGGCTCAAGAGGAAGATAGAGATGGTCCCGCGACGGCCTTTCCATATACTCATTTTCAGTGCCATTTGTGTGCAATTCATCTTCATTGGCTTCAATCCCTTGATGACAGTTAGGTGAAATAGATGTAATCTGAATACTAGGGCACTCGAAGGGCTTGGGTCCACCTAGTGGACTATATTTGGATTCCGGTACCTCACAAGTCCCCTCATAGTTCTTATGACTTTGAAGTCTGGTAGGTGGTGACAAAGGAGAGGAGTGAGACTGCAGTCCATGGCGAGGAATACAAATTGGCTGATTTACAGATGAAGATGGTTGGTCTACATTAAAGATGTATATGGATGCACAGTCATCTGACTCGAGATCTGAAAGAGGAATAAAAATAAAAATAAGTAAAGAGAGTCAGAGTGTAATACTAAAAACGCCCCTAAACAAAACCCTTTGTGTGTGCCCATTCTCTACATCCCAGATTTCCTACATTGCTGTTTAGACTAGCAACACACCACAAAACTCATCTCTATTTTTTTTAATTGACACTTACAGCTGCCCAAGATGGCAGCCTAGGTTTCTACTGTAAATCTTGTTTCTGACCAGATTCCAGCAGTTTACGCACATCTTTAATGGATGAAAACATAACGTACATAGAAAATGGGTTTAAATTCTTTAAAATTAAACTTCTGAACTGAAGCAATCAATTCAAAACACACCATTCATAACTACAATCCATTCTAGGCAGTTCATAAATTAAACCTAACTCATAAACATGTAATCTGCTTGACAGACACATGAACAAATACAGTTCCTTCTGCAATCCCACTAGTCAATACATTTCAGCATTAGGATACCGTAGGAATAGTATTTACATCCTTTAAAAACAAAAAGCATCTTACAGTGACCCAGTCTTCAGTGAAGATTATAAACAATTAAACATTCATCATAAGAGGCCTGACAAGAAACATTATTAAAGACATTATAAAGAATCTCATACCAAAAAAGTGCTTTTTGGTTGCTTATAAAACTCCCAAGCATCCAACCCACAGCACAGCATTTTTCAAGCCTAGTCTCACCACATGTGAGTGCAAGTTGTTTATCCAGCATAAGAAAAGGCAAAACAAAACATTCTCAAATCTCTCAAACTTACGCAAAATAGAGCAAGTATTCCAAAGAAAAACAAGCAATCAAGAGAGAGCACAAAGCCAGCAGTTCCATCTTGTAGAATAGAAGCAAATTTTCTTGTCTTGCTTCTCAATATTGAATTAACTGCCAATAAGAGACTTTTGTCTCTGAGACAAAATTTAAAATACAACTTTTTCCTTATTTTGTACCTCCTGTGCTCCCACTCTTGTTTTTTTCCCTTGTAGAATAAATCCTTTCCTATAGCAACATAAAAAGTAAGTTTGGCAGAGACCTCAGGTGGTTCCCTAGTCCATCCTCTCCTGTATGCACACATATGTGTATATATTTGTGTGTGTGTGTGTGTATATTTACTCTAGTACATGTTTTAATACCATCTCCTAATTGCTGCCTTGCTGTTTGAAATAAGATTGGCATTTAAAATAAATCTATTCTCTCACATGACCAGGTAAAATATCCACATAGGATACTATATTTTAAGCCATTCCATGGTTAAAAAAAAGAAAAAAAGAAAAAAAAACACGCACACAACACGGGATGTTGAATAAACCGATCTTTCTATTAGTAATCATCTCAAAATTAAGTCCATTATTCTTAAAAATCTCAGAGACAACAAAAAAGCATTTTCAAACAAAATACACTGCTATCAAGGAACCGATTATGTTCCCCAGACCCTTAAAAAAATTGTTGAAGTTTAATAGGTAGAATGTAAGGACATTCATTAAAGGAGATACAAAATGCATTTAAGACTAGAATTAAGTAGTTTTGTGAGCATTACATAGCTTCAAGTACTATATGCATTTATCTGTATTACATAATTACATCCTTAACTAGTATTACATGCATTAAGAGCACAGGACACTGTCACGGACTAATTTCTAAATACGCATACACTAATAGGATCTAGTTACCCAGGAAGGGCTGTTCCGTGTATCATACAAATAATTAACACAAGCTTGCTATATTAAACAGTGTCAAAAAGGTATTCCCATATCTTTTGTCCAGGATAACAAAAAGTCATCTTTATTTCTAAACACCTTTTGAGCTGAAAAAATCATCTTTTTGTTTTTGCTGTTTGCAGACAGTTGCTAGTTACGTATTTTCCATATCTCCTGGTAAACTTGTAAGAAAGATCTCAGATATTTTTGCCTCTTAATCTATTACTAGTATTAGGTCTGTAGGTCAAGAAAGAAAAAAGGCAATCCTAACACAAGGATGATTGACAAAAGGTAGTAAGGAAATTTTAAAGTAATAATGAAAGTGTTATAGGAAAGCCAAAGTCAGAAAACTGAGTCCAACACAAAACCCATTTACTGCCTTGAGCGGCTCTACGAACAGCAGCAGCAGATTCCTCGGGTTCAAATTCTCACCATAGCAAAGTCTTATTTTCTTGCAGCAATAACCAAGAAATCTTTAGATACTTAAGGCAGTTTGTCAGCTCCGTGTCACTGGGGTTTGCCAAAGAGCAGCGGTGCATTCAAACTTTCAGTTGTGGGGAGCTGAGATGGAGAGACAAGATTATCAAAAACGTAACAAGGAGCAGGAGAAAACGGAACAGGACCACTCTGCAGCTCCGGCTCCTCTCCAGGACAAACACATCCTGAGGAGTTTGGCCCCACTCTGCCCCTGCCCTCCCCAGCCATGCACACCCACGCGCTCAAAAACAGGAAGGCAGAAACCTAGGCGAGCGCTAGGCATCTAACGCACCCTAAACCCCAGAGCTCACTTAGGGCTGCAGAAACCACGTCCTCTGGAATCTAATTCACCAAACACTGGGCATAATTACACTGATTACAAGCTGTTAGTTACTGGTATAAAGAACAGCAGCAACATCTTCACTGTCTCATTAATTCTACTAAACAGACTGCATTAACAAGTTCCTAAAATATACACCGATAATCATCTTTTGTCATAACAATGAATGTAGACATAATCCAAAATGGAATATCCCAATTACTAATTTGAAGTAACTAGTAAAACCTACAAGGTTGGAATATAATTTAGGTAAAAACAGTCATGAAAAAATACGGCTAATAAAATGATAAGGAGCAAGAACAGCTCTAAAAATATTAGCACAGGATTTCAAGACAGCAGACACTAAATAAATTCTGGAAAGTCTCACAGAACGCAACTGAAAAGTGAGAGAGATGTCCAAGACAAACAAATAAATAAATAAATAATCTTATAGCTTAAAAGGAGAGCTATTACATCCAAACAAATGTATTGTTCTGAAAAGGAAAAGAGTACTTGTCAGACGTGAAGTTGACCAAGACATGAGGTCTTCACTGACTTTAATATACAAAAAGACAATATTCAAGAAACAGAAGCTAGGTCAGATCACTCAGGCACAGCATAAAAACCACCATAGCACATGAAGGCAAAATGTGAAAAGCAAAGATGCTGGGTAGAACACACATGGCAAAAGCCAAAGACCAAGAAAAGCACTGCCAGTCACATCAAAAGCCTGACACGACCCTGAAACTACAGCTGTGTTAAATGTCTTTTCTTCAGTAACATCAACTGAGTGAATTGGTAACAAAATTAAAAGCAATGCAGAATGAAAAAATGTAGACTAAATAAAAAGATAGTTAGTTCTGGAGAGTTATGAACACTTTTAGTTACATTTTTAGGAGTAATATTGATAGTTTATTTGGGCCAGTAAGCATTTAAAAACAATACAGAAGCAAAACAAGTCAATGTTTAGAACAAAACCATATCGACACATTTTGTTTTATGACTAAGATCTTGTATATAGCACTGAAAGAAAGCCAGCTTTGCTTTAGCTTACTAAGGTATCTACCACTACCTTGCATGGAGAAGACGCTGAGTCTTTAGCAATCAGGTGAGGTCCTCTCTGCTCCCTGCTACAAACAGGTCTGCTACTGAGGGCTCACAAAAGTCAGAAGATGCCCTGTACTCACACAGTGCACTTTAGCTATATAAAGCTGCAGATTTCTATTTAAATTCTGCCTCAGCTGTCTGTGTCATCCTTTATCAATGAGAGCCTGCCTGTCACTTTGAGTGTCCATTTGCTACCATTTGGAAAACAGACTAGTTTCTAGGAGCTCCTGTGCAGCATTAAGACAACGCTGTTTCATTTCTCACTAAGCTGCTAACTACAGCTTAACACAAGTTGTCTAACTGGGGAAGTAAGTTAAATAATATCCAGAACAACTGTTCCCAAAGTACATTTTGCCTGCTGTTTGCTGCATCAGGCTGCACATTCAGGACTAGTAGCGCTTGCCCACCAGTTGTTCACTCCTCAGCAATGTCCTGGCACACAGATACGTGCAGCTGTGCAAGCCAGATTTCTCCACAGAAGGAAGGTCAATTATTACCAAACATCTGAACACAAGCCCTGTGCCAAAATTATCCAAATCACTTGATTCTTCTAGGTTTGTAATCTTATAAACAAACAGGTTCTGACAATAAGATTTGTTATATGGTACTAACAAAGTGCAACGTGACCCAGGTTTCATAAAAATACTACTGTGAAAAACAGTATCGGTAGTCAAGTCCTTTAAATAGCCTAAGGAAAGACTTGAGCATTGCCACAGACATCATGTGTGTTCTGAGGCGAGTCATATAATCTGTGTCTCCATTCCCAAACCGTAAAAAGAGAACGACAACCTCTTCTATTTCTCAGGTCTCCTGTGACAGTTACTACTTGCTCTATCCAGTCACGACGCTGCTACAAAGACTGCCACAGAAATTCCCATAAATAAGAACAAAAAGCACAACTGGCTCCACATTTAATTCATCATTCTACTGATTTCCTACGAATGATGTTCATGCTTCTCAAACAGGAGGGGAGTCTTAACCTCTGCAAAGAACCAAAATATCCAGTAGGAGCAGTTCTCTTTCTGTACAGTTACAATGCCAATTACCCAATCAACCTTCTTTCTAGCATTCTATCAATTGAGATTGATAATGAGATATTTGAGTCATTTTTGCAGTCCAATCTGAGTCTTCCAGAGAAGCTTCCTACTTTCCAGAGCAAACTTAAACGTCAGTTTTAGTGAGCAACTTAAAAACAATCAACCCCCCCAAAACAGAAGAGTTCAGTAGTGCATTAGTTTATATGGACCATGACTAACTAGCATGGGCTACTAAACACAGTATTAAAAATACAAACAACTAAGAAAAACAACTAGGAGAGGCATTTGGAAGGATGAGAGGAGGAGAAAACACATCCTTACTGCTAAGCTTAGCAGCACAAAAAACAGCAATT